CCCCAAAACCCCAAAACCCCAAAACCCCAAAACCCCAGAGCTTTTGTAAAATATAGAAATAACTTTATCATTTAAAATGAATGATCACGATGAAATCCCTGTTGGCCCTGTCAAGGACCAGCAGGATTTGAATGAAGAAAATAAAGATGGCTATATAGAAACCCCTGTCAATCCAGATGGGTTCTTTAATGAAATCAATAATAAGGGAGCCTGTAGTGTTAGAGTCGCTTTAAGAGTAAGACCTCTTATCGCCCATGAAATTGCAAACGGAAAAATATGTGTCAAATGCAATCCAAGAGATAACCAAATCATTATTGGAGAAGATAGAAGCTTCAATTTTGATAGAGTGTTTGGAATAGATACTGCTCAGGAACCAATCTATGAAACTTGAGTGAAGAATCTTGTATTGGGATGATTCTATGGTCTCAATGCTACAGTTTTGGCTTATGGTCAAACTGGAAGTGGGAAAACTTTCACAATGGGTAGTGGGCACACCATCGGACTTGATCCTGAGCAACTCGGTATTATCCCAAGAGTGATTTCATTCATTTTTGAAGAAATAGAGAAAAGGAAATCAACAGCAGATATAACCATAAAGTGATCATTCCTTGAGATATATAACGAAGAGATCCATGATCTTCTGGATAATTCTTCAGAAACCGGGGTAGATAGATACCTCAACAAAGGAAAAGATATAACTATCCGGGAGGAAAAGAACGGAAATATTAGCGTTTATGGCCTAACTGAAGAAAAGGTTGACTCTAGTGAGGAAATGGCTTCGTGTTTAGATCGGGGATCAAACCTCAGAATCACGAGTTCTACACTGATGAATAATTGATCCTCAAGATCCCATGCAATCTTTACTATCTCTATAGAGCAGCATATTATCGATGAAATTTCAAAAGAAGAGGACGGCGAAGCAAAAGAAGAGGGAGGTGAACTAGAAGAGTTCATGACTGCTAAATTCCACTTTGTAGATCTTGCTGGATCTGAGAGAGCTAAGAAAACAGGAGCCACAGGAAGCACTTTAAAGGAAGGAATCAGTATCAATAAAGGACTCCTGTCACTTGGAAATGTAATTAGTGCTCTAACGGATGAGAAAAAGAAAGGAGCACATGTTCCATATAGAGATTCAAAATTGACTAGAATTCTTCAAGATTCATTAGGAGGTAACTCCAGGACATCAATGATTGCATGAGTGTCCCCTGCTGAGTTCAATTTTGACGAGAGTTTAAACACACTAAAATATGCTTCGAGAGCTAGAAATATCAAGAACAAACCAATTGTAAACAGGGATCCAAATTCAGCATTGATTGCTCAACTGAGACAAAATGTGTTAGAGTTACAAAAAGATCTCTTTGGGTTCAAACAACTGGTAATTGACAATAAAATTGAAATCCCAGAATCGTTATCGGATGCCGCCAAAAATCTTCATGAGCCCATAAATCTAGGTGCTTCAAACAAGGGAGGCCAAGTGCAGTCCTCTACAGGCTACTTTGGAGACAAGGAAACCGAAGAAGAGAATAAGAGACTTAAGCAAGAGCTTGCTCAGAGTAAAAGGGATGTATCAAAATTGCAAACCGAAGTGAAAACAATTCGTGAGCAATTGGATGACCTTGAGCTTGAAAAGTTAGAAATCATCAGAGATAAAGACCTTATTCACCTGAAACTAGAAGCATTCATTAAAGCATACCAAAAGGATGGAGGAGACATCCATCTCCTGATGGGGAAAGTCAAGGACGAGGCAGAGGGCGAAAGTGATGAAGATTCAGAAGAAATGGACTTTTCTGATTTAGGAGGAGTTTCAATCCTCGACGAGTACAGAGACAAAAACTCCAAACTGGAAAAAGAAGTCAAAGAGAAAGATACAAAGCTTAAGCTACTTCAAAATGAATGAGAATCTCTTTTGAAAATGGGTATGGTGTCATAATTATCTTTTAGGTAAGGAGGATACGGATAGATTAGAAGAGAAATCCAAGGAAATTCAGAGACTCAAACGGACTAACAATAAGCTTCAAAAGGAGAACGTTACCTTAAAAAGAGAGCAAAGGAATGCTGGAAAGGCTGAAGTAAGCTACCCAGCAGCTCCACAGCCAAGGAGAGAATCAAGAAATACTATGTATATTCCTTCAACTCAAAAAATTGGACTTAAGAGTAGAAAGAGAAAGAATTCGAAAGATATGAAAAACATTGAAAATTTTGAATTAGATGAGAATAAGATAGACGAGATTGAGTCAAATATCTTTACTAAGATTACAGAATCAGTCGATAAAATCTTCAATCTTCCAAACACAGATGCTAGGTCTACCTTTTCAGGGTACCAAATCTTCGGAGGACCGACTCTTGGTGATGCTAAGGACTCGGAATTCCGAATGACAGTGAATGACAAGACCAACAAAGATCATACAAGTGTTAAGCCATTTGGTGAAATCGAAGAAGTTCCAGAAGAAGAGGAGAAAGAATCAAGAAAAGGAACAATGTAAGTTATTCTGTCTCTAACCTTCTCTTAGAAGAGGAAATGCAGATAGGTCAACCACTTTCTTCTTTGGAAAAGATAGCAGCGATAGCGCCTCCATGGACGGAGACTCAGATGGCAATAAAGAGATAGACATCCAGAAAGAAATTAGAAATAAGGAAAGAGAAGAAGAACTTATGAGTCAAATCACCCTCCTTCAGCAAGAAGTTGATGAAGAGGAGAAAGAAGAGAGTAAGCTGAACCAAACTGATGAAAATAATGAAACAATGGATGAGAACACCAGAGATACTCACTTTGATAAGGAAGCTACTGAAGAAGACAAACAGGAAGACCAGAAAATCAAGGATAGATTGGAACTCAGAGAGACAGAAGTTGACAACCTCGACAACGCTTTGGTTCAGAAGCAAGAGCTCCTCGATGCAATTGTTGAGTCTAATAAAGAGATGAAGAAGGAAATCGTAGACACTATGAAGCAAGAGTATCTCAAGAAAATCATTGCCCTCCAGAACGAGATAAAAATAATGGAAAGTCAAAGGGAAAGAGATGTTAAAAAGGCAAAGAATGAGACATCAAAAAGCACTGTTAACAATGAGTACAAACGTAAAATCAAAGATATGGAAAAAGAGCTCAAACTTTTCAAGAAAAAGGATAAAGAGCAGGTGGACAAACTCAGAATCTCCAAGAAACAGAAGAGTCAAATTTCTAAACTCAAAGAAGATATTAATGGCATGAAATCTCAAAAAGTCAGCCTTATGAGACAGCTGAAAGAGGATAGAGAGCAGCACAGAAAATGGAAGAATGAGAAAACCAAGGATCTTATGAAAATGAAGATGGCTAATCAGAAAAAGGACCAACAGATCACTAAGCTTAAGCGTGAAAACTCTAAGAAAGCCAATATCCTTAGAAGAAAGATGGAAGAACTTAAAGCACTACAGAAGCGACAGAAATCAGATATGACTAAGCACAGAAAGGCCTTGAACCAGAAAAGAAGGGCTAAGAAGATCAATCCCGAGAAGATCAAGGAATGGGTAATGGACAATACCTCAAAACTCATGCGTTACCAAGATATTAAGGAAGAGCTTGACAAGGAAGAAAAGAGCAAAGTTGCAACAGAGAAAGAAATTGAGGAAGAGCAAAGTCAATTTGCAGAGATTCAGACTAAGAAAGAGAAGCTTGAAACGAAGAGGAGACTAGCTGATCCTGACGATAGAGATACCATTGAGGATATCGACAGCGATCTTAGAGGCTATGAGCTCGAGCTGAACAACATCAATGAAAATTTGAACTCATTAGAAGATAAACTTGACTTTGTCAATGAGAAAATATCTGTGTTTAATAAAGAAGTTATCGAAATTAACCCAGAAGGCATTGAAAGGCTGAGATTTGAAGAGATAACTAATCTTGAGGAAGCAAAAATCTACCTAGGCTCCTTCTTCAACATTTTCCTTGAGATGAACGTATACAGAACAATGGTGGAAAATAAGATATTGGAACAAGATGAAATTATTGAGAAGCAGAGATCTGATATACAGGATTTACAAGCAAAATTACAAGCTTCAGAAGTAAAGTTTAGAGAAGAAATTAGTAAGCCATGTGAGTTAAAACTTTAGGCAAAATGGCCCAGAAATATAAAGAGAAGCAAGACCAAATTAAGCAAGAGATAAATGAGTTTATGAAAGAAGATCTAGCGTTTAGTAGCTCTCAGAGTATCCCTGGCTATGATTCTACTGGAAAGCCTCCTAAGCTAGCTCGAGATAATAGTGCAAAGAGCACTAGACAACTAAGAGATGAAATTAAGCAAAGAAAGCAGGCTCTAAGAGAGGTTGCAAGGGTCCAAGCATCTAGTAAAATAGGACTGTCTAAATTAGTAACCTCTCTCGAAAGACAGACAATAGAGGATGAAAAGAAGATAGAGATTTTGAATCACAAGCTTAAACAAGCTTTACATGAAAAGCAAATGTTTAAGCAGAAGTAAGTAGCTCAGACTAATTATAGGTACGAAACTTTAAGAAATAAAGTGAAAGCAGATGAAACTGACGATATTAAGATGATAAAGACTATTTCTTTAGATACAATTCAGAAGTCTCACAACTCCTCTTCATTCGTAAACACCAGCAATGATTATGAAGGAGGTCTGAGGTCTTACAGACAGGTTAGAAAGGACAGAAAGAAAGCTCCCCTCAATTCGGCAAGAAGTCACAAGAAGACACTTGAAGAGCTTGACAGAATAAAGAAGAACAAAACTCCTTCTAGAAATGACAAGAAGGCAGAGAGCTCCTTGGGGGCGAACTTTAATTATGAAAGAAGAAGAGTTAATTCTAAGAGTAAGTATCATTTTGAATAGATATTTATTGGTATAGGCTTTGTCTCCAGCAGTATTGTGACAACTCCAGCACCCAAACCTCCAAAATCATCCAGTAATATGGATGGATTAGTTAAAGATGAATCATTAAAAAAGAAGCAGTTATAAAATTCAACTCGAAGTATCTATGTTGGGGTTTTGGGGTTTTGGGGTTTTGGGGTTTTGGGG